AGTATAATTGCCCCAAATAGAATAGCGTACAGCTGCCTCTCAATGAAGCAGCGTAGTAGTTTCCCATTCATGGCTCTTAATGCAGTTAGTTGTAAATATGTATTTATATCTCCATTTAAGGATTCGAAAGCCGAACTAACCAAGGCAGCTGGCCATCCTTTCTTATTTATTTATTTATTTATTTAAATGACTGCATATATTTGGAACAAAGGAAAATGGCTGCTTTAAGAAAAATGGAGAAAGAAAATTGGAACGGAGGCATTATCTCCATTTACTTCTGCCCGATTGGTAAGATTAGGCAGGTGAGGGGCACTCCCGTGCCCTAATACATCCAATAGATTAGGATCCAATAGATCCCAATACATCCAGTGCAGGTAATAAACGATTAGTTTTTTTAAAAAAAATTTGAAGTGTATGTTCTTTTTCCCTTGTGGGTTCTCACGTTCCGTTTTTCTGTTTTAAAAAGTCTTCCTTTTCAAAGCTTAAGCCAGCTAGAGTGGTCCAGAGCCGGACAGCTTCTAAATCATTATTTAATGACCCCATAATCCCTTGCGGGGCGGCGTCTGGGCAACTAAATGGAGCAAGCAGAGCGTTTTACTGGCCGGATGCCCTTCCTGTTGCCAGTACTGAGTTTTATTCAGCAGATATATTCTCATTGTGCCCAGAGAGAGAAATATCTGCCTCTACCTAGGATCGAACTCACAGCCTCACGGCCAAACTGGAACGCATGTGTATGTGTTCCAGAAACCCGAAGACCAGCTGGCCGGTGCACGCATGCCCTTTTTGGGGGCCTGTTTTTTTTGGTCTGTTTTCGGGCTGTTTTTTTGGGCCGTTTTCAGACCGTTTTTCGGGCCGTTTTTGGCTTAAAAAAACAGCCTAAAAAATGGGCCGTTTTCCGGTGCTCCGGCGCCCACGAAGACCAGCTGGCCAGAAACCGGAAGCTGGCGACTGCGCACGTGCCCACGGAGAGGGCTCTGCATTCCACCTCTGGCACGTGTGCCATAGGTTGGCCATCACGGGTATAAGGATTCCTGCGTCGGGCAGGGGGTTTGACTAGAAGACCTCCAAGGTCCCTTCCAATCCTCTGAGTATGTCCCGGTTGAGTCTATATCAGGGGTCTCCAAGCTTGGCAACTTTAAGCCTGGCTTTGGCGGCTCGGGAATTCTGGGAGTTGAAGTCCACCAGACTTAAAAAAAACCTGCCAAGCTTGTAGCTGGTCTCTATCATTCCCGTTCCCCAACCAGGATTCTGTCCCAGGTTCAGATCTGGAGAGTCAGCGCTCTTTGGACATCACCTCCTGCCCCATCTGGTTTTGTGCTCCTTGATTAGGTGTGTGTGTGTTTGTGTGTGTGTGTTTGGGAGTGGGTGGGGGGGGTGAGAAACGTGCATTGGAGCCCAGCCCCAAGTGGATAGCAGCGTGCCTAGAGTCTTTGCTTGACCTTTAATTGGTGTTGGAAAAGACCAGATGGAAACCAACGATTGATTGACTTTAATTGGAAATCCGCAGCGGGAGATTTGCCAGCTAACCGAAAGGTTGCGGCTTCATTGCTTTTTTTTTTTTTTTTTTTTCCCCTTTTTTTTCCCCCCCCCCTTCCCGGAGAGTGACAGGGCCTAACCCCCCCCACCCTGCCCCAAGGGATCTTTTGTGTTGCTGCGGTTTTTTTGTACATTCAGTGCCCTTTCCCCACTACCACACATGCACACACACACACGGGGAGCGCCGAGGAGGCTTACAAGAATGTCAGCCTTTCCAGACTTCTCCCTCTGTTACATTGCTAAGCAACTTTTAGGAAACATTTAAAACCCCCCTCCTCCCTCTACCCACCTACCCGCCCTTCTCGCCATCTGGGAAAAGAAGCACTCGGTCTAGGCAGGCAACGAGATGGATTTTAACGGAGAAAAGGGAGCCACGTTCTACGTCGGGGAGCAGCCCGTGATTCAACTAATATATAAATGTGTGAAGAAGTGCAAAGCCTAAACAAACCGTGGTTCGTTTGTTTGTTTTTTTCCCCTTCCAAAGGATGATGCAAAGGCTTATGACGAAAAGAACCCACCGGTGATGCGCCGGCTGGCTCTTTTCCCACAGGCAGTCTGTCGCTGATGGGTGCGCGTCCTCCAGGCCAACTGGCTGCCTCGCGAGGACGCAGCCGCCTTCCTTTCGGCGGGGCTAAAGGCCAAACTGCAAGGAGGGTCTCAGAATGGATTGGGATACAAGGACCTGTCTCCCCCTCCCCTCCTTCCAGGATTGCCTCTCCTTAAAGGAGGCCTTAAGCCTGTCTTGGACTACGCGTCCCCTCGTTCCCAGCCAGAAATCCCACCCCACAAGCCATCCATGCTAGTTTGCCAAGCTGTCTTAACGGTACGGCCTCTTAAGAGGTTGCCTGGCTTGCATTGCTGATGTAAAAACCCGTTTCTGGGTGGGAGGGATGGATTTTATTCCTGCCTTGGGTCCATTTCTGGTCTGATGTAAGCAGCAGATGTTGATCTGGGTTTCCACAGACAGGCATTGGGCCTGATTCTCGAATTAACCCACATCCTGGGATCCTCCAGCATATGGAATATCTTAAACTAGCCACACAGCTTGAGTCCACCCGACACTCAAAGCTGCTAGCCGGCAAAGGAGGAATGCTCTACCAAGGTTAGCAATGCTTGAAGCCTCCTATACTTTGGCCTTTTTAAAATTCACGGCATGCCCACAGGGGGAAACTAACGAACTGGCCAAAGACAAGCTACTTCACACCAGGATTGCTTAACCATTTTTTGCCCCTCTTCTGACCGTGTTTTTCTCCTGTGCCCAGGTCTCATTACGAGATATGGGCCTGGAACAATGGCATCGACACAATAGTGTTCGCAGCCTAATACAACTTATTTAGGTGGGGTCCTTGGTGCTCTCTGAGCTTTCTTGCTTTCTTGCAGATGTTTCATTGCCAAACTATCCTGTTTCCCCGAAAATAAGACATCCCTTGATAATAAGCCCAATCGGGCTTTTTGAGCGCATGGCAGTAAGGCCAAGCGCTTATTTCAAGGTTCAAAAAAATATAAGACAGGGTCTTATTTTCGGGGAAACACAGATAGATAGATAGATAGATAGATAGATAGATAGATAGATGGATGGATGGATGGATGGATGGATGGATGGATGGATGGATGGATGGTAGGTAGCATCATCAGTGCTAGTGGTGTTACTTAAGTAAACAAGCAAACTTGGAGAGCACCAAGGACCCCACAGCCCTCTTCCTCCTCCCCCCCTAGCACTGATGATGTTCCCTGTTTGGGTTTTAAAACGTCTCAAGAAAGCAAGCAAGCTCAGAGAGCGCCATGTCAACTCCGAGCTACAAATATTCTCCTTTATTAGTACAACTGGGTTACTTGTTTAATTACTTACTTACATTTCGTGTTTCTTAACTGCCCATCTCCCTCAGCAGCTGCCATGGACCTCCCCTCCTTACCTGTTTTTCATCTATGGCACCCTTGAAATATCCTAGAGCGCCCCCCCCCCAGGAGGCTATGTAGCCCCCGGTTGGCCTTGACAAGATTATACTAAGCCCTGGTTTGATTAAACCTGGTTTGTTGAATCCATCATGGTTGCCTGAGCTTACGTCACCTGACCTGCCCCCTCAAGTCTTCTTTTTAAATCGCTTCGCCTGCCAATCATTAAGTCCATCCCAAGAGACAAGGTCACTGCACTCCCCACGTACCGGAATGGGACTCCGCCTGGAGAGGAATAAATAAAAAGTGTGGCCCCATAGGAACATGTCAACCTCTTCCTCCTGAGCTTCCTGAGCACCTGAGATGGTGCACATATGTGCACACGTGTGTGCATACTTATACAGGAGCCACAGCTTATTCTTGGCAGCAGGCGTGTGAGTGATTTCTTTGGAAGGCTGGGAGAAGAGCGATTGTGGGAGGGAGAAACCAGAAGGATCCCACTTGCTGAATCTTCCCCCCCCCCCCCCCCACTCGTGCTTGCTTTTCAATGGCTTGGGCAGCTGCTTCCCCTCCTCTCCCCACGGCGTTTCCTCCCCGCCTCCCCCTCCCACTATTTTGGGAGACAACTTGTTGTGAGCGGGTGGCAGAACGTTTGAGTCTTTCGGATCCATCTGGGATTTGCTGGCAGCTCGGATAAATTTAGAGTCATAGTAGCACTTTGTTCCACACGAGAGCCACCCTTCCGTCAGCCGTTCAGCGCCTGGATCCCGGCTGTCACTCTCCTGCGCACCCACCCATGCGCCAGCCTGCCCGCCCGCCCCGCCGGTCTTGAATTTGCCACATGCCGTTGCCAGAGAAGCCGCGGCTGGCTGACCCTCTTCTGGCTGGTGAAGTGACTCGCCCAGGGGAGGCAAAGAGGGAATCGCCTCCCACGCTTAGGTTTTTCTGGCTCTCTTGGGCGCCATTCGGATTGTGTGGGCCTGTCACAATCTCACGAGGACCCCTGTGGTCGTCGTTCTCCTCTAAAGGTAAAGGTTCCCCTCACACATATGTGCTGGTCGTTCCCGACTCTAGGGGGCGGTGCTCATCTCCGTTTCAAAGCCAAAGAGCCAGCGCTGTCCGAAGACGCCTCCGTGATCATGTGGCCGTCATGACTCAACGCCAAAGGCGCATGGAACGCTGTTGCTGGTCCCTATTTTTCTACTTGCATTTTTTTTGTACGTGCTTTCGAACTGCTAGGTTGGCAGAAGCTGGGACAAGTCACAGGAGCTCACTCCGTTACGCGGCACTCGGGATTCGAACCGCTGAACTGCCGACCTTTCGATCGACAAGCTCATATGTGCGAGAGGAACCTTTACCTTTTAAAAGACCCAACCAGTCCCTCTCCTGGCTATTTTATAACCACCCACTTGGACGTGTTTAGCCTAATCCTTTTTTTCTTTCTTTCTTTCTTCTAGAGTTACCATCCAAGTCTGAAACCCGATGCTTGCTTTCTTTCTTTTGTCCTGTTTCATTCATTCATTCATTCATTCATTCATCCTCTCCCCCCCTCCCCTTTTATCTGTTTGAAGGGACAATGGAGAAACGATATGTTCAATGGACAAGGCTGTATGATCCATTGTTCGGGCGTCATCTATGACGGCCTCTGGCATAACGGCTCCCCTCTTGGTACGTGCTCTGGATTTATGCAGTTTGGTTCGTAATGAGACCCCCGGAATAATGCCCTGCCTTTCCCTTGATTTGATTTGTGTAGCGTCGGCATCAATTCTGCTCTCCGAACTTGTCAGGCCAAAGAGTTGAAAAGCAGCAGCGAACCCACAATGGGGGTGGGGAGTTGTGTAGGCCAGGGAGAGGCAGCGGGCACAGCTCAGAAGCCTCAGTTGAAATGCTGCTCTTTTCACACATGATTCCCACTTCGTGCCTCGGGAAAAGAAAAGGAAACTTTAGGAAAATAGCCAGGAGTTTGTGGTGATCTTGGCTGGGGGTCCCTTTGATGGACAGTATCGTAGCATAGGTAGGTAGGTGGGGAAGATAGAGAAGTAGAGAAGATAGATAAATGGATGGATGGATAAATAGATAGATAGAAATCAGATAGGTAAGCAGGTAGATAAATAGAGAGATAAGATAGAAAAGATACCATGTTTCCCCGAAAATAAAATTCTGTCTTATATTTGTTTGAACCCAGAAATAAGTGCTTGGCCTTATTTTCGGAGAAGTCTTATTATTTTTGGGGTGCGTGGAGGAAAGCAGAGGAAATGGCAACTCACCACTGGGATCATCAGAGCCTTTTAAAAGTATTTTTTTTTACAACCTCTTTGGCCGAAGAGGTTGTAGAAAAAATGCTTTTAAAAGTAAAAAATCGGGTGATCCGGTCCGAACCAGGAGCATTTCACCCCTGGTCTTCACGTAGTGTAAGTGGGACAACAAGAGCCTTGGTAGTACAGGGGTTTAAGGCACCCTGTTATTAAGCTGGTTATTAAGACCAGCTGCCTGCAATTATTGCAGGGTTCGAATCTCGCCAAGGCTCAAGGTTGACTCAGCCTTCCATCCTTTCTAAGGTAGGTGAAATGAGGACCCAGTTTGTGGGGGCAATAAGCTACTTTGTATAAAAATACAAAAGGATGAAGGCTATTGCTGAGTACATTGTAAGCCGCCCTGAGTCTTCGGAGAAGGGCGGCATATAAATCAAATTAAAAAAAAAAAATTGTTTAAAAGAAAGGACACACCGACACCTATTCAGGTTTGCCAAGGCACCTTCTGTCTAAAGAAAACGATTTCCGCAACCGGGCGGAAGCCGCTATGAAACTAATTTCATTCCCCTCTCCTAAACTTTAGAGAAATGAAGCTTTCATTTGAAGTAAACCAGAATAGGCAACAATGCATACCTTTGCTACGAAATACGCTCTATTCATTGCCTGCGTTTCGAGGCTCGCTCTTGCGGGAAACATTCTGCCAATCTTCTGTCCCGGATGCCTACTTTTCGAAAAGAGAATGATGTTTAAATGTCCCAGCTGGTCTTTTTCAGGAGCGCTAACCACCAAGGTCTGTTGAACATTTTGCAGGGCAAGCGAAGACAATGGCGATTATAGGGCCGGAGGTGATAGACGCAAGTCTAGGATCGGTTCTTACTTTTCACATCCAGCTGCAGACCGATAACGGAGAGGTTTCTAAAAGTAAGAATGCTTTTTTTTTGGAATCTTTGCGGGACTCTGTAAAATAATTTCTATGGGTGACAAAAAAAAATAGCCCTTTTGGTTTCTATACCGTTCCAGACAGGTGGCTGTCCAGTTTCTTTTTGAAAACATCCAGTGATTTAAAGCACCTAAAACTTCTGGTGGCAAGCTGTTCCACTGGTTAATTGTCCTTCCCATTAGGAAGTTTCTCCTTAATTCCAGGTTGCTTCTCTCCTTGATTAGTTTCCATCCATTGTTTCTTGTCCTGACTTCTGGTGTTTTGGAAAATAGCTTGACCCCTCTCTTCTTTGGGGCAGTCCCTCAAATACTGGAACACTGCTATCATATCTTCCCTAGGCCTTCTTTTTACTAGACTAGACATACCCAATTCTTCATCTGTCTTCATGAAAGTTGTCAAGTGTGTCAAAATTGTCAAACCCATTAAAAAAATAAATAAATCTTTTTTTTTTTTTTGACTATCTGTAACCCCCGTCTCCATTCTGGGACAGTGAAAGACATCCATTCCCTAAGAAAGAAGGCAAAAGGGTAGCTTTGTGGGAAATTGCAGCAGGGCTGCCATTTTAATTCAAACCTTTTGAGACTGATGGACATTTTCAATCCCAGGATGTGTCCAGATGGACACAGACATCTTCTTTCCCATGTCTTGTTTCCTGCCCAAGTTTTCATTCTTCACAGGTAAACAATTCCACAGCTTTCCACTTCCTAAAATCGGAGTTAACAGTGAGCCTGTGTACAAATGATCAGATTAGACATTGGGCAATTCAAAGCCAAAATCAACCTAGATCGGTGATGGCTAACCTTTTTGCCGTCGTGTGCCAAAAGCAGGGGGAGTGTGTAGGGGTCGCACGCGTGCCTACGCCCATAATTCAATGCGCCCCGCGCACGCATGCATGACACAAACCCCCCTCCCGCGGTCTCCCTGCTTTTGGCATGCAATGGCATGGTAGGCCTGTTTCTCACCCTCCCCAGCCTCCAGAGGCTTTCTTGGAGCCTGGGGAGGGCAAAAACAGCCTCCCCCCCCACCCCCAGAGGCCAGAAATGGCCCATTTCCTGACTTCCGGTGGGACTGGAATGGCTGTTTTTCACCCTCCGCAGGTTCGCCAGAACCGGCTGAATACCACCTCTGATTTCCTGGATAACCACAGCTATGCTTGTTCCTAAGATTCCATCTTAGCTCTTTGCTAATTATTGATTGCTATTTTCTTTTTAAAAAAAAAAGGGTGGGGGGGAGAAAAAAAAGAGCCTTTTTAAAGCTCCAAGGGAAGCCTTGATGTTAGAAAAGTTTTCTGTTGATTGCAGAAGACTCGCACGGACCTTGTAAACCTGTTTTGTTTTAAATTACTGCCGGAGAAGTCAAGGTTGCCTGTAGCAGGTGGTGGTAATTAAATGACTGTTAAGCTGCCTACGTTTTTCCGGGTGACGGTTCTGTTTGGTGGGCTTTTATCGTGGAATGCGCTGTTTGTGTTGCTTCTCCTCCTCCTCTCTTCTCCCCTTTAAAAAAATAAAATAAAATAAAATTGGACCACGTTCTGATTTCGTCCCGTGGGAAAACGATCTCCTTCCCATCTTTTGGCTGTAGCGTTTGAGTGGAAACATGCTTTGCTTGACATAGAAATACATGGTAGAAGCCTTAGGGAGAAAGATGGGTTGTCCGAAAAGAGCATTGGAAACAGGATGTCCCAGGCTAGGAGATCATTCTGGGACCCGTGGAGTTTATTCTACCCGTTGTTTGGATTTAGTTGCATGTGTCTTCCAGACAGAGCGTGGCCGACGGATCCTTTTTTTCTTCTTCCACCACATTAATCCCTGAGAGCATCTGTTGAAACTAAATAGGAAGAAATTCAAAACCGGTAAAAGGCAGATGTTGTGCGATCCATCTTTGTGTCGTCGTTTTTCTTGCAGACGTTTCATTACCAAACGAGGTAACATCATCAGTGCTACGAAGGAGTGGGGTTTACCGTCTGTTTATGTAGCTAGTACGGTACTTGACTTACAATCACAGTTCAGCCCCAAATCCCTATTGCTAAGCAAGACAGTGGTTAAAAATCAGCCGTGTCCCATTTTACCACCTGTTTTGCCATGGTTGAGGGAATCACGGAGGTTCTTAAGTGAGTCATCATGCGGTCGTTAAGCGAATCTGATTCCCCATATTTGCTTGTCAGGAGTTTCCTAGAAGGTTGCAGGTGACAGTCCCAAGATCAGAAATACATGCCGGTTGCCAAGCACTCCACGTGACTATAGGGATAGTGAAACGGTCACAAGTGTGAAAACCGGTCACTTTTCTTCAGTGCTGTTGTAAATTTCGAACCGCCGTTACATGCAGTCCTTGACTTACGACCACAATTGAACCCAGACATTCTGTTGCCAGTGAGAAAAGCTGTTCAATGAATTTTGCTGCATTTTACGACCTTTCTTGCCACGGTTGTTAAGTGAATCGTGGCAGTTGTTAAGCTAGTAACCTGGTGGTTGAGTGAATCCGGCTTTCCCCGTGGATTCTGCTTGTCGGAAGGTCGCAAAAAGGGATCACGTGACCCCGAGATACTATGACCGTCAAAAATATGAACCAATTGCCCTGCATCCAGATTATGTCTCTCTCTCTCTCACCCACTCTCTGTATCTCTCTTATGTTTCTCTCTCTCCCCCTCTCTCTGTATCTCTCTCTGTCTCTCTCTCCCCCCCTCTCTATGTCTCTCTCCCCCTCTCTGTATCTCTTTATGTCTCTCTCTCTCCCCCTCTCTCTGTATCTCTGTCTCTCTCTCCCCCCTCTATGTCTCTCTCTCCCCCTCTCTCTGTATCTCTGTCTCTCTCTCTCCCCCTCTCTCTGTATCTCTGTCTCTCTCCCCCCCTCTATGTCTCTCTCTCCCCCTCTCTCTGTATCTCTGTCTCTCTCTACCCCCCTCTCTATGTCTCTCTCTCCCCCTCTCTCTGTACCTCTCTATGTCTCTCTCTCTCTCTCCCCCTCTCTCTGTATCTCTCTGTCTCTGCCCCGGCCACTTCTCCATCACCCGCTATCACCCTTACCTTCTCAGGCCAGGCGAGGAGTGACTGGGAGGGGAGGGTGAGGGGCGGGACCAGCCAGTGGTGGGTTCACCCGACAGGGAGCCACAGCAGAGGGCCCGAAGAGCCTCATGCGGCTCCGGAGCCGCAGGTTGCTGACACCTGACCTATACATACAAATACTCTGTTCTAAATCTTTACACAGTGCTGGCTCCCGAGAGACAATTAACCTTCTACTCATGCTTAGGAGCGTCCCAAATACGATGCTTCCAGGGATCTTCGCTTCTCTGTAGAACCCAACCTTGATCCTCAGAGCCGGAGTTGAAATCATGCCTTGTCCTTTGATTTATTAGGCGAAAGGGGTCGATTGCTGGAGATTACGGCCAGGATCAAAAAGATCACCTTACCCGAAACCAGCTCCCACGAATCGTTGGAAGCCACCGAGAAGCAACATTTTTCGTAAGTGGCAGAGAGAAAGTCAGGCGTTTGTCTCTTCCTTATAGTCTACAATTTGGTTTCCGCTTCCTGCGGGCGCGTTCTGGATCTCCGGAGCTTCCGAGCCACGTTATGCTTGATGTAGAGTTGGGCAAATACGACACAGATGGTTAATTCAGCGACGCCTTGTACTGGGATTGCAAACATCACTCACTGGTTTCAAGTAAACCCGAGCAACGCCATCGGATGAGGAAAAGTACCCATCTGAACGTCCGCAGTAAGCTCAGAGTTGGGTTACCCGATCTCCTCAAACACTCCTTCGTAATCTTGTTACTGCACTGTTTTGTTTAAATTTAACAGAATAACAAGAGTTGGAAGGGACATTGGAGCAGGGGTGAAATCGAGCAGGTTCTGACAGGTTCTGCAGAACCGGTAGCGGAAATTTTGAGCAGTTCGGAGAACCGGCAAATACCACCTCTGGGCTGGCCAGTGGGAATGGGGATTTTGCAATGTCCTTCCCCCAAGAGTGGGGAGGGAATGGAGATTTTGCAATATCTTTCCCCCAAGAGTGGGGAGGGAATGGAGATTTTGCAGTATCCTTCTGCCACACCCACCAAGCCACACCCACAGAACCAGTAGTAAAAAAAATAGATTTCACCATTGCCTTGGGGGTCTTCTAATCCAACCCCCTGCTTAGGCAGGAAACCCTACACCACTTCAGACAAATGGCTGTCCAATCTCTTCTTAATAACTTCCAGCATTGGAGCATTCACAACTTCTGGTGGCAAGTTGTTCCACGGGTTAATTGTTCTCACTGTCAGGAAATTTCTCCTTAGTTCTTAAGTTGCTTCTCTCCTTGGTTAGTTTCCACCCGTTGCTTCTTGTCCTGCCTTCAGGTCCTTTGGAGAATAGCTTGACTCCCTCTTCTTTGGGGCAGCCCTTGAGATATTGGAAGACTGCTATCATGTCTCCCCTGAGTCCTTCTTTTCATTAGACACCCCCAATTCCTGCAACCATTTTTCATACGTTTTATACCCTTCATTCGAGGTGAACTTCAACCTTATGGCTTGCAAGCTACGATTGACGGCTTAGCATCTGCCTAAACTAAGCTGCTGTCACTTTGCCAACAGGCCACTCTTGAAACCAACCATAGCTTTCCACAGGCTGGGCAACCTGGTGCCCGCGAGCCTCAGGGTACTCTCGTATCTCCTGGCCTGCCTGCCTGCCTGCCTTTTAAAAAGGTTTTGAAAATTAAAATAATTAAACAACTGGAGCAGTGCCAAGCAGTGCACTATTCTCTGGCAATATTTGTTTCCAGGAATGTTTCCTGGCGGGTGGCTGGGAACCGTGCTCGCTGTGATGGATTTTTTATGAATAGAAACTTCTCCCTTGGCAGCACTTTGGGTCTGCGCTCACCCCCCTCCCATGCTTTCCAAATTCTGAATGCGCTCTCAGTCCAAACGACCGGCTACCTTGGCTCAATTGGCCTATTATCTGAGTTTCCTTTTGCCACGGACAGCTTGCGAATCTCTCCTACGCTCAGAGCCACTTTGGGTCCGAGCCTCCGGGCTTTGTTTCTCTCAGCTGAATTTGGAACTCACTCCCCTGCTTGCCCAGAGGTGGGAAGCTGAAAATCTGTGCAGGCTGTAACACCGGAGAGACAGACTTCGATGCTTTCCTGGGAAAAAAACAACAACAACTGGACTGCCAAGTAGACTGGGCTGTAAAAACCCTGAGTGGGAAGGACAAGAAGCAGCGGATGGAAACTAATCAAGGAGAGAAGCAACTTAGAACTAAGGAGAAATTTCCTGACAGTTAGAACAATTAATCCGTGGAACAGCTTGCCACCAGAAGTTGTGAATGCTCCAACACTGGAAGTTCTTAAGAAGAGGTTGGATAACCCTTTGTCTGAAGTGGTGAAGGGTTTCCTGCCTAGGCAGGGGGTTGGACTAGAAGACCTCCAAGGTTCCTCCCAACGCTGTTATTCTTTTAAGGCAGTACTTTACTCCATGGAGTAGAAGGTCCTGCCAGAATGATGGGAATTGTGTTTGTGTCTTTTAAAAGTTTATTTATATATTTTCACAATACATACATGGGTGCTTAGTGAACAGCGTATTGTCTGGATCATTTTATTTATATATAATAATACTTCTCCCTCTCCTAATTTCTACCTCTACCACCCAACCATTTGTAAAACAAGTCCCACGTTCGAAAATACTCTGTGTCGTCTTCTTCTTTTCATTTTAGTGTCAGTTCTTCCATTTCTGCACAATCTTTTTTATTACAATTGTGTTTTTATGGGGGGAGTACCTGGTATTTGGCTGAACAAGGTTCTCACAATTGTTCATCCGTCTGCCTGCCTGTAAGGATTGCCCATCTTGCTCGGAGCAACAATGCGTTAGCCAATAAAATTGGACCCTTCTCCACAAGAAACTGGTTGTGGTGATGGCGAACCTATGGCACGCGTGGCCAAAGTGGCATGCGAAGCCATGTCTCCTGGCACGTGTGGCATTGCATCCGGCCTGTTCGAGCCACCTACCTTGTTTTCAAAAATCTTTATAGAGGCGGCACTATCCGTCCTCGGCTTGTTTTACTCACGAAGAGGCCAATAGCAGCCAATGAGAACCATCTCCCAGTTTGAACATGTCTTCTGTTGGAGGAGAGTTTACTGAGAAAACCCTCTGCCCCTCTTATTTTTTAAAAAGTTTTATTTATTTATTTATTTACAAACATATCAAATCGATGTGTGAACAGTGTGGCACCTATTGTATCATATATTCTAACACAAGTAAAACTACTAAAACTGATCATAGTTATTACATTCAATCAACTTCTATATTTCTAATAATGATACACAGTGATAATAAGTTGCCATCTGTCATTGTGCAATTATTCCATGTTTTCTCTTATTGTTACTTTATTTTATTATCTAAAAGCGTCTACGCTAACCTTCCCCTTTCTCTTATTTCTATCACTTATTGTAACTTTTAATCATATCACCTTTAACTGAAAAAAAAAAAATTCTTTCTATCCTACCTGGCTTCTATTTGGGTCATCTACCCGAAACAAAGGAAAGAAAAGGAAAGGAAAGGAAAGGATGGGAGGGAAAGGAAAGGAAAGGAAAGGAAAGGAAAGGAAAGGAAAGGAAAGGAAAGGAAAGGAAAGGGAGAAAAGGAAATGTAAATCAGAACAACAAAAACAAGGAAATCATTTATCCATTGTCTCTTGCCCGCTTCAATACTTTGGTTGCTATGCTTTTTTTTAATTTGCCTCCCACCTTCCTCTCTAGGATCTTTATCCTCTGCCTCTCTAGAACTGGCCAGCCTCCCTTTTCCAGCTCAGGGAAACATTGAACCTTTCACATCCTATCAGCTGTCTTGCGTTTGTGGCCTGCTACCCTAACTTCTGTGCCCAAGTCAGTCTTGGTTCTAGTTTTCTTTTTTTCTTTTGGCAGGAAGTTTGGGAGTCCCAGTTACCCTTTGAAGTTGGTCAGGTCTGCAAGCCAATCCCTGCAAAGCGTTTCCCTAGTTGTCAGCAAATCAGGACACGCCGGGCCTGAAGCGGTAACCTCCCACGAAAAAAAGCCGGGACTTGAAACAAAGGACAGTAAGTAAACCACGATGAAGTTGGTTTGAGACAGAGGGGAAAAAAAGAAAATCTGTGGAGCCTTTTGTACGCTAATGGACGGCTGTGAGAACAGTTGAAGGGCGCCTGTGAAGTTTGCACTGGCATCCTTCAGAAGAAATTAGAGAGTTTGATTTCCAAATTCCTGAGGGGGGAGAAAAAAAAAAACCATGTATTAAACAGCTTCGGGGGGGAGTTCTTGGATCAGTCCAAGCCTGCTTTTGAAACAGAGAAAAGAGCTCATTTCAGCTGATCTTTCTGCCAAATAACGATGCCCCGTCTTTCAAAAGGAGAGAGAGAGAGAGAGAGAATAAAAACCACTTAGGGGAGAAAGGTGGCGTTACTTGGTCGCTGACACTTGAGTTGCAAGCTAAGGCATGACAGCCTCTAGGCCCAACCCTATCCTGTTTTGGCAGCCTCCTGAGCTTTGCGTCACTCGAGCTCTGCCGCGGCCTGGTTCCTTGTCACTCAAGGAGGCAAGACGTCAATGGGATAATTCCTCCCGACTCCGAGCCTTCCTTTCACTCCGCTGCTAAGACACTCGAAACCTTCTCCATTTCTGTTTCAAGTGCCTGTTTTATAAGATCAGGGTGGAGGAAACAACCGTAGCTGCCTTTTTTGCTTTCGGAGCTTAAATCCAGACCAAAGGAAGGTTTTACTCAAATGCAGATCGGAGGGGAGAGTGCGGAATTAATTAATCCGTGGAACAACTTGCCTCCCAGAAGTTGGGAACGCTCCAACACTGGAAGTTTTTCGGAGGAGATTGCATAACCTTTTGTCTGAAGTGGTGTAGGGTTTCCTGGCTAAGCAGGGGGTTGGACTAGAAGACCTCCAAGGTCCCTTCCAACTCTGTTGTTCTATAACTAATGGAACAAGAATTCCGCCTGCGCGAAAGGAGCTGACGAGAGCTCTTTTTAGGTTCGGACCCGAGTTTGAAGGGGGGGCCTTTTAGCAGGGGGGGCCAAATGAGCTTTGTACAACTAGTCCTCGACATGCAACAGTTCATTTTAGTGACCGTTTGAAGTCACAACGGCACTGAAAAAGTGACTTATAACTGTTTTTCCACACTTAACAACCGCTGCCGCACCTCTGCAGTCATGTAATCAAAATTCAGGACACTTGGCAACCAATTCATATTTATGACGGTCGCGCTATCCCTCGATCGTGTGTTCAGCTTTTGCGACCTTCTGACAAGCAAAGTCAAGGGGGAAGCGTCAACTTTGAAGCGTCACTTTAACCTAACAACTGCAGCGATTCGCTTAGCAAACCGTGGCAAGAAAGCATCACAAAACGGGGCAAAACTCATTTAACAAATGTCTCGCTTAGCGACATAACTTTGAGGCTCAGTCGGGACCGTAAGTCAAGAACTACCTGTATTATTAAACAATTCTACTGAACGGGACTAGACTGTCGGGTCTGGGAGAGAACTGAGTCTCTGAACTGAGACTAAACTAAGTTCGGCAGATGTGACTATGTCTCAGATTCTGTTGGGCTCTTTTGTATCTAACGGATCTAACGAATTAATATTTTGGGCAATCCAGCTAGGAATAAGTCCAACAGTTCTGTAAAGTAAGAGAAAAAAACAGCCTTCCCTCAGTTTTTTTCTCCAAGCCATCATTTCCAGCTGCATCTCATCTGGTGGTTGTACTTTCTGATGGAGATTCTGATTCGGATCGGAGAGAAAGAGTGGTGCGGTGGCCTTAGAGGCGGAGCTCTCGCCTCACAATCAGCGGGTTGTGAGATCGATCCTAGGTAGAGACAGATATTTCTCTCTCTGGGCTCAATGAGAAATATATCCTGCCGAACACAACTCCGTACTGGCAACAGGAAAGGCATCTGGCCATTCAACACTCTGCTAGCTCCATTCAGTTGTCCAAACTCCACCCCGCGAGGGATGATGGGGTCATTAAGTGATGATGATGATTCGAATTGGAGAGAAAAATCAGTGGATTTAAGTGGGATACAAGAAAAGAATCGCAGAGCAAAGGGGGAAGCAGTTTTGAAAAACCCAGCTCTTTGCTTTCTCACACCCTGGCCAAGTTTTGTCGTCTCCACCTCGTACGGGCCTCTCTCTTCCTTCCTCTCCACCTACTCAGAATTGCGTCTCAAGGTTTGCTATGTAATCCCAGCGAGTCAAAACTGCCAATTCATCTTTTGTATAAATATACATTTCACTACCTATATTGTTATTTTGGCTTCCTCTAAAGGGCTTTTTGCTGACAGATGACCTGACGTTTTTTGTTTTTGTTTTTTCTCCTTCATAAATACCCGGGTATTATTTTACAGGCCAACAATTTCTGAGATTATTCAATGGAAACCCGAACGTTGAGATCTTGGGAGTTGAATCGGAGTTTAATCACCCTGGTTTATTGTGAGCCATAATATTCCATCCACCCATATCACTTGATACATGGTAAATACATGATCTGAATCTTAATTTGCTCGGCTCACTAGACGAATTAGGGGGAGAAGCCGTTTGGGGCTCCGGGAGAGTTTATTTTGAAAGCCCCAACGTACACAAAATACTTTGCTTGTCCTTTTTGTGTGTGTGTGTGTGTGCTATTTTCTGTTTTGGTCGTATTAAATTTTAGTTAGGCTTTTTGTTTCTACTCTTCTAAGCAAAATAAATATTTATAAGGAACCTTATGTAACACCTGACACCCCCCAGGCTTTAAGTCACCAGAAGATTTAGAATAGTAAATAAACAAGCCCGTGTTTTTTGGGGAGTTTTCCCTTCGGGAGAGTTTCTGTTGTAATATTCCTGATTTTTGAACGGAAAGACTTTGGAGAAAAATAGGTTGAAGCCAGCCAAAACGGGTCAGATTCCCTTATCCAGCTGGTACTACAGTAAAACGACATTTGGGCAACAGAGGGGCCTGTAATGAATACTTGAGCTCCAGTTTTCTTGTAGTAGTGAAGTAGCTGGACCAGAAACAGGGTTGAGTTAGTTATAGTCCTTCTTGAGGCGTGAAAGTCACCGGGGTGCCTTTGGGAAGAGTCATTCTCTCTCTCAGTGCAATCCACCTCACAGGGTGGTTGTTGCAAGGGGAAAACAGGAGAAAGGAGCATTAAGTACATTAGTATGGTCATTGTAAATCTAATAATAATAGTAGTAATCTTCACCGTTCCAAAAATTTTAGCCAGTATGGTTATCATAATGGTCCTGATAATATCTGAAGAGCATTTGGTTGAAGAAGGTGACAGTTTTGATGTTAGAATGATGACTTCATCCATCCATCCCTCCTATGACCCTCTGCTCCTTCCCTCCCTCCCTCCTTTCCTTCCTTCCTTCCTTCCTTCCATCCCTTCCTTCCTCCCTCCCTCCCTCCCTTTGTTATTCATCCTCCCTCCCTCCCTTCCTTCCATCCATCCTTTCATCCTTCCTTCCTCCCTCCTCCCTCCGTCCCTTTGTTATTCCTCCATCCCTCCATCCCTCCCTATGACCCTCTGCTCCCTCCTTTCCTTCCTTCCTTCCTCCCTTCCTTCCACCCTCCCTCCCTCCCTCCGTTATTCATCCATCCATCCCTCCTATGACCCTCTGCTCCCTCCCTCCTTTCCTTTCTTCCTTCCTTCCATCCCTTCCTTTCATCCCTTCCTTCCTCCCTCCCTCCCTCCCTTCCTTCCATCCATCCTTTCATCCCTTCCTTCCTCCCCCCCTCCCCCTCCCTCCTCCGTCCCCTTTGTTATTCATCCATCCATCCATCCCTCCTATGACCCTCTGCTCCCCTCCCTCCTTCCTTCCTTCCTTCCTTCCTTCCTCTCTTTGCCCCCTTTCCTCCCTCCCTCCCTTCCTTCCCCTTTGCCTGTTTTCCTCCCTTCCTTCCTTCCCTCCCCCTTTGCCCCTTTTCCTCACTCCCTCACTCCAGCAAGATTTTGTGGCTGGCTGCTTGAGCAAAAGGTTGGCCCGGGATCAAAACACCTCAGGAACAAGTTCTGCTGATGGGTAAATTACGAGGTCCTTGAGGCTTTTGTTCACCCTGTTCTTTTAACATGGCGGTAATAACCCAGTGATGGAAATGTACCCAGCCCTATGAACTATTGATGAACTGCCAGCAAAATGGAATTCTGAGAGGTTCTGAGCGCAGGGCATTTTTCCTTTCAGAGACGGATGTGCTCGACTCTCTGGTTTTGAAGCCGTAATGACATCTGAAGCCGGATTAAAAGTCATTTCAGGAGAAGCTCCCCCTCCCCTCCCTTAACAGCCATTGACTACTTACCTTGACCGTGCTTGTTTCTTTCAAAAGAGGGAGATTTTCAAATGAAGGCGAGGTGTACAGAATGAAACGTATTATATGTTTCTCCAGGGAACACAGCGTTCTACAGTAATCTGGTCCTTCTCTCTGTATTTTTCGTTAGCATCTTCGTGATGCCAAGCGACATAGAAGAGGCCCGAGACCACACATGGTTTAATTTATCTTAGACCATCATCCTTACCCGGAAGGATTGTTCCTGTTGTTGGCTCCAGATTGGACTGAAATACCAATCCAGCTGGGATACATCAGGAGTGCTTGGCATCGTGGGATCGAAAGGGCCAGTGGCAACCGCCTTAATGCTGGCTTCCATGCAGTCTAGACTCCGGGCAAGCATCCAAGGATGATGATGGCTACAGGACCCAGTCATCACCATCTCCTCAGCTTCCCTCGTGCATGTTTCTGGCCAGGTACATCAATCCATTCACAAGTTATTAAGAGTAGTAGGGTTCTGTTTTATCAAGTTCCTTGTAAAACTACCCGGAGATTTACGGTGTTGGGAAGCCTCTAAAATGGATCGAATAAACCAGTGTTTCTCAACCTTGGAAACTTAAAGATGTGTGGACTCCCAACTCCCAGGATTCCCCAGCCAGTATGTTAATCATTGGAACAACTTGCCTTCAGAAATTGTGGGTGCTCCAACACTGGAAGTTTTTAAGAAGAGACTGGGCAGCCTGAAATTGCGTACAATCTCCTGCTTGGGGTTGGGTTGGACCAGACAATCTCCAAAGT